AATAAGCGAAAGTTTCTTTGGACACCTACCGAAAAGCCACAATCCGTAGGCGTTTATACCACAAATAAACCCGGCATTAAGGCTTTACTATCAAAATACTCATTTTGGTTGCCACCGGTAATAATAAAATTTACCTGCCAACTCTTATGAGGCACCGTTGCCTGTTTAAACGTCCTTAAGGATACTAGAAGCAAGGGGGTGATGCGCTTAGATACAGTAAATCCAGAGAAGTGACCGGAGAATATCAAATTGACTGTTTTGTTAGTTAGGAAGTAAAGACATTTCAGCAAATTTCCAGAAGGCGAAGCATGAAAGAATGACAGATTTCATAAGAGAGAATGCATTACAACAGACCATTAGCCACAAATTTCACCGAACCACGCGCATGAACGTGTTTCGATACCAAAGGGTTCGGATTAAGCGAGGCCACTTAAACGTTTCAGTAGTTGCATTATAAACACGCGCACGGAAAACTGAAGCAGAGACTCTGCAAACATGCGTCAATATATCCGTAATAACTACTGACCTGCAGCAAAACGAGAAACTCCTCAATGCCGAGGTAACTAGCCTTGCCTGCTTTTTCATTCACTCTACAGCTCTAAACATTTTTCCAAATCATGCATTCCAGCGAAATAGCAGCAAAGGTATGGATGTACGATACTGTCAAATCTCTCGAAATTGCTGATGTTCTGGTGTATCCGGTGAATTAATGGTTCTTTCCCTGCATGAAACCTGTCCTTTACATAACGCTCTAAGATTAAACTGACGTCCCCTGCTGGAAATAAACCTTAAATAATAAAAGAAACCTCAGTACGAACATCACAATATGTATCCTTCCCGTACATGAAATTTAATATGAACAATCGAAACTACTAACAAATAACAGCAGTTGGCATCATGCTTCAAGCCACCGCAAAGCAGGTATGATACTGTATAGTTAAGAAAATTGATTCTCATGAACGACTAAAATTTAAATTGGGAGGGAGGGTGCGTCGACTGGTTTTTTAGAATCAGTATTCTTCAAACCAATTATTGGTGCTGCACCCTCTATGTTAAAGTTTCAGCCAAATGAAATTTTAAAAAATTCTGCCTGCATTATGTCGCTGTCCGTGTTCCAATACAATGCTGGCGTGCTGGCACCACTGCACGTAGATGGCGGTCAACGAATAGTGCGGCAGCAGCTGTTAGAATTACCCCTAGGTGGCCTAACGTAGACATAATGAACGAAGTGGATAGAGGTATACCGTTTAACACAGTAAAGTGGATTACCCTAGTTGTGGTAAGTTCTAATCCTAATATATTGCAGCTTTTTAAAATGTCGATGTTCATGTTTCAGTCATTCGTGATATGCTCCATTTACTCCATTGGCCATCGCTCTGACTTTCCTACAAAGTGACTGCGCTGCGGCGCACTAGTGGTCTTCAGCAACAAGCGTTAGATCGCATAACATGGACGGAGCGAATGGAGTTCTCGGTAAAGTGTATCATGGATGGACTCATGTCGAACGATGGAGTGGATTTAAGTGCCTGTAGTAATTTTGCATCGTCGTAGGATGATATTTGGTGAATTTAGCAAGTGCGCTGTTGTTCTTGCGTCGGCTGTTATTATATATACTGCAATAATTCTTTGTTTGGGCTTTGATATGTATTTTGCAGAAAAATCGCTTGAAGAATTGGTGTTTACATTCAATTTCTAACATTTATATACATTTACTTAATTCCGGATGTCAATCAAACTATTAGTCTGGTACAGCTCCAAGTTCATTGTAACATTCGTTGACGCAGCTGATCAGCGTTCTTTCACAGGTTTTCTAATGTCAACTAATCTAAGATAGACTGAAACTACGAAAGTAATTGGGACCGCGTCGAAATAGCACATTGATATAACCACCGATCATGTTAATCTAGAGCTTTCCAGCTTTCGCTGCATACCACAATATCATCTGCGTAAAGCGTGCAGTATGGACGCTGCCTCCTGTAGAATCTCAGTTATCATATCTGTCGCCATCGGGAACGGAAATGAACAATTTTCTGGCACCAGCTTTTTTTTCACGCTCCACCAAATCGCTTGCTTGGGATTAGATTAAAGCTTTCTGCAGGTCTGAAAAAACCTTATAAATGTCCTGTCTGCCTTCTCCCTATGTTTCCGTGGCAGTTAAAGCAAATATGGCATCCATATTTCACTGGCCTGGCATGAAGCCAAATTGATTCGCGGTTATGTCGACATCTTTCTTATGTCTCTTGC